TATTCTCTATTTAAACTACAACTTGACTGGTTTAAATTATTATCAAGTTATCAGTGATTGTAAAAGTTGCAGATAGAAGTGCTTTGTTTTATATTATTATCAAGTTATCAGTGATCGCAAAACCTATATTTATAAAATATATATCTATAATCAGGTGTGCGTGTTGTGATAAGGTGGACTTCAATAATTTGGATTCTTGTACTTCACTTGTTGGAATTAATATTAGAATGTTAGGGTTTGTAATCCAAGTGAGCATATACACATTTTAAGACCTAACCAGGAACGACTGCGAAAAATGCAGCACAAGGTCCTCTTGTAGGAATTGAACCTACGGCCCTGCAATTCCGGTGCAGCGCTCTAACCAACTGAGCTATACAGAGGCCAGCTGTTGAGCTTTAACCGTAAGTTCATGTATATTTAGGTAATCGGGTGTGCGGGTTGTGATAAGGTGGACTTCAATAATTTGGATTCTTACACTTCACTTGTTGGAATTAATATTAGAATGTTAGGGTTTGTAATCCAAGTGAGAATATATACATTTAAGACCTAACCAGGAACGACTGCGAAAAATGCAGCACAAGGTCCTCTGGTAGGAATTGAACCTACGGCCCTGCGATTCCGGTGCAGTGCTCTAACCAACTGAGCTACAAAGGCCAGCTGTTGAGCTTTAACCGTAAGTTCATGTATATTTAGGTAATCGGGTGTGCGGGTTGTGATAAGGGGGACTTCAATGATTTGGATTCTTGGACTTCACTTGTTGGAATTAACATTAGAATGTTAGGGTTTGTAATCCAAGTGAGAATATATACATTTTAAGACCTAACCAGGAACGACTGCAAAAAATGCAGCACAAGGTCCTCTGGTAGGAATTGAACCTATGGCCCTGTGATTCTGGTGTAGCGCTCTAACCAACTGAGCTACAGAGGCCAGCTGTTGAGCTTTAATTAACCGTAAGTTCGTGTATATTTAGGTAATTGGGTGTGCGGGTTGTGATAAGGTAGACTTCAATAATTTGGATTCTTGCACTTCACTTGTTGGAATTAATATTAGAATGTTAGGGTTTGTAATCCAAGTGAGAATATATACATTTTAAGACCTAACCAGGGACGACTGCGAAAAAAGCAGCACAAGGTCCTCTGGTAGGAATTGAACCTACGACCCTGCGATTCCGGTGCAGCGCTCTAACCAACTGAGCTGCAGAGGCCAGCTGTTGAGTTTTAACCGTAAGTTCATGTATATTTAGGTAATCGGGTGTGCGGGTTGTGATAAGGTGGACTTCAATAATTTGGATTCTTGTACTTCACTTGTTGGAATTAATATTAGAATGTTAGGGTTTGTAATCCAAGTGAGCATATACACATTTTAAGACCTAACCAGGAACGACTGCAAAAAATGCAGCACAAGGTCCTCTTGTAGGAATTGAACCTACGGCCCTGCGATTCCGGTGCAGCGCTCTAACCAACTGAGCTATACAGAGGCCAGCTGTTGAGCTGTAACCGTAAGTTCATGTATATTTAGGTAATCGGGTGTGCGGGTTGTGATAAGGTGGACTTCAATAATTTGGATTCTTGCACTTCACTTGATGGACTTAATATTAGAATGTTAGGGTTTGTAATCCAAGTGAGAATATATACATTTTAAGACCTAACCAGGAACGACTGCGAAAAATGCAGCACAAGGTCCTCTGGTAGGAATTGAACCTATGGCCCTGCGATTCCGGTGCAGCGCTCTAACCAACTGAGCTACAGATGCCAGCTGTTGAGCTTTAACCGTAAGTTCATGTATATTTAGGTAATCGGGTGTGCGGGTTGTGATAAGGTGGACTTCAATAATTTGGATTCTTGCGCTTCACTTGGTGGAATTAATATTAGAATGTTAGGGTTTGTAATCCAAGTGAGAATATATACATTTTAAGACCTAACAAGGAACGACTGCGAAAAATGCAGCACAAGGTCCTCTGGTAGGAATTGAACCTACGGCCCTGCAATTCCGGTGCAGCGCTCTAACCAACTGAGCAACAGATGCCAGCTGTTGAGCTTTAACCGTAAGTTCATGTATATTTAGGTAATCAGGTGTGCGGGTTGTGATAAGGTGGACTTCAATAATTTGGATTCTTGCACTTCACTTGGTGGAATTAATATTAGAATGTTAGGGTTTGTAATCCAAATGAGAATATATACATTTTAAGACCTAACAAGGAACGACTGCGAAAAAAGCAGCACAAGGTCCTCTGGTAGGAATTGAACCTACGGCCCTGCGATTCCGGTGCAGCGCTCTAACCAACTGAGCTACAGAAGCCAGCTGTTGAGCTTTAACCGTAAGTTCATGTATATTTAAGTAATCGGGTGTGCGGGTTATGATAAGGTGGACATGAATGTCTTAGATTATTGCACTTCACTTGGTGAAATTAATATTAGGATGTTAGGGTTTGTAATCCAAGTGAGAATATATACATTTTAAGACCTAACCAGGAACGACTGCGAAAAATGCAGCACATTAGGTCCTCTGGTAGGAATTGAACCTACGGCCCTGCGATTCCGGTGCAGCGCTCTATCCAACTGAGCTACAGAGGCCAGCTGTTGAGCTTGAACCGTAAGTTCATGTATATTTAGGTTATCGGGTGTGCGGGTTGTGATAAGGTGGACTTCAATAATTTGGATTCTTGCACTTCACTTGGTGGAATTAATATTAGAATGTTAGGGGTTGTAATCCAAGTGAGAATATATACATTTGTATATTCCCACTTGGATTACAAACTATTCTCATTTGGATTACAAAATATATACACAAAATATATACATGTACTATACATTTGTATATTCTCACTTGGATTACAAAATATATACATGTATATATTCTCACTTGGATTACAAACCCTAACATTCTAATATTAATAATTCCACAAGTGAATTAAGTGCAAGAATCCAAATTATTAATTTCAAATGCCCCGCCGGGGCTAAGGTTCGAGTGGAAATGCCCAACCCCCGGGATGTGCTTTACAGGAAAATGGCTGGGCGAGGGGGGTGGGCACACTTGGATTTGGCTGATGCATTAAAAGTCATGGGAAAAGAAAAAACTTTTCATATTGCTACTATAAAATGGCTTATTGTGCTTATTCCTGTGCTTATTCCAGACTGCTTGTCAAATATTTACTTGCTAGAAGTAGAAATTTACTCTGACCACTGGATGAAGAAGACATTAAATAAGTACTGGTCAATAAATAGAAATGTATTTTATTTCATAATATTACAATTTTATTTTTATACTATAAAAATAAAATATAAACATGCGGCATAGAATATGCAAATTCGAGGCAATATTATTGTTGAATCGGTTTATTTATAGGATTTTATAACAAATAGCAACTATAAAAGTTTGTACCTTGTCTTCACATCGCTTTATTCTGTTAACCAATGCTTTTAAATTTACATATTTTAGAATCAGTTCCTTTCCTGGTAACTGCATTTCTAAATGAAATCATCGTGAGTAGTGAGTGCTGAGCAGGCCGTTTTACTATAAACAAATTTTAGGAATTGACAACTTTGAAAAATATATCGTTGCACATTCGGTCACAGTCGGAAAAATGTTTGTACCGTCGCTTGCAACTAACGATGAACAGTTGCTCATAAAAACATTCGCGTGATTAGAATCTTCAATGTTTGTCAAGAACAACAACACTTAATTGTTGTTTCCCATGTGTAAAGTGGACAATAATAAGTAACAAAACTTTGTGTGGTCTGAACGTGTTGGGCTAGAGACTTACTGGAAACTTTTACAGGCCTTTTAATGAGAATAGAGAATGTTTTATCTGCAACTGTTCACCCTTAGTTGCAACCGACGGTATTTGACAGCATAAAATTGCCTGTGGCTGTGATAACTGATATAAATAAAATACAGTCTGGTTATATTGACTTGAGCGTGTCAATGGTGTCATGACAAACTCTTTATTGGAAAATTGTGAAGAAATAATCGAATATAGAGGGTCGAATATCATACTTCAACTTGTATATATAGCTACAGTATCATTGGTACATAGCGTTGTGAAGACAAGCCTTTGCTTACCTTTCGCTTCAGCAGTCTTTTTTTCCATGCTTCTCTACGCTTTCCCAGGCGAGCTTCTCTTTCCTCAGCAGTCTCCTCGAGCAAACGTTGTCATCTTCGCTAGCTCCCTCCTTTTCGCTAGACGTTCGGCTTTCTTGTCGTTTCCTTGCCGCTCTTCATTTGGCTCCATACAGTAGTCCATATCTTTTCAATTGGTATTTGATACCGTAATTGTTTTATTAAACTTTTTATAGAACAAATTGCTTTGAAAGCTGTCAAAGTTTTTTGCAAACGTACAAAATATTGCAGTGCAAAAAGCAAAATATTTTCATGAAGTATCTGTCAGTTGAAGTCGTCATTCGTCGTACAACAACAAATTTTAAATTTGACCAATCAGTGTTCGCTATTCATGACAGTCCGCCATATTTTTGAGATCAGTGAGGATGACCACCCACCGAAACACGCACAGTGACCCACGCCCGCGATATTTGATGAACTTCAGACTTCCCTAATGCTTTCGTTTCCCCAGGTGTAAATAGCCGGGGGGAATTAGTACCCTCGCACGGCGCTTCGCGCCGCCGGCTCGTGGAAAAAGGCGAAGGTCTTCACTAGGCTCGAAGGCGTAATTTCTGGTACAATGGTAAAGAAAATAGAGAAACTGACAATTGTTCTGGAGTCGTCTGCTGTTGAAATACGAAAAGCAATGATATCACGAAATTAACCCGTGCAAACACGGGGATGAACTTGTTAACGATATTAGTTACGATACTAAAAGTTTTGAATATTTTCCGATCTGACATACTACAACTGAATATTAAGTGAATTAAAAAATGTATCTACTGTCGCTTATTTCATATTTGTATGAAACTATACTCTTGTTTAGGTCAATAAATTGGAAAATATCTGACAAAGTTACAAGCCAATATCTTTTCAGCCCGGGCTGAAAATATAGTCTAGCCCAGTGAAAGCAATAATTTTACGCATAACTTTTTATTGCCCTTTACTAGAGATGCACCGGATGTCATATTCGATCGGATATCCGGGCCGAATAGTGAGGGAATCTCATCCGGTATTCAGCCGAATATATAAAACCTCCGTGTGAATACGGACGTGAGTTTGCACATTAGGCTTCCTCCTATTACTAAGTATATATAGTCTCCAATAAGAATTAGGGTCTTACCTGAAGTTTCCCGTATTTTTGTCCATGGAAGCATTTCCTTGGATGGATCTAGTTTGACACCGTTAGTATTTGACGCACACCCCTTCGTCGGTTATATGGAGTCCACCTTAAAATGAAAATTCGTAATCGTTTGTCATACCACTAACTGAGATGAGAAGGTCGTTTTCCAATAGTAGTACGTCTTCATACCTACACCTATACCTGGTATAGGTATAGGTATAAGAATAATTATAAGTTTTTCACAGCTTTGTTCTTATGCTGGCCATTTTTCTTTGGAAGCTGGCTACAATCAGTAGCCTCAAGTCCCAACGATCAGTATTTTTGCTGTCCCTAACAATGCTGTTTTTTGCAGAAGTTCTATTCTTATGTGTATTTCCAATTTCTCAATCCAATTAGCCAGTTTGGGGGGGGGGGGGGGCGTATTCATATATTCATTTTCACATATCGTAAAAACAATGCTTTCATTAGAGTAGGGCAGAACGCGAATATATGAATACGCACCCCCCTCCCCAATTATCGCGTCTAGTTACGGCCCTGTAGCCAATTTTTGTGTAGTTCATTTGTAGTACTTTAAAATAGAATTGCTTACTGGGTAATATCTTCTTCTTATATTATAAAAGAAAAAGGAAAATTCCCGTGTGTTTACGGTGTGACAATGCACTCGTCATGTATACTCGAGAAGCATGTACACTCTATGAACCTTAGTACTTTAACATCTAGGTCCATGTATAGCTGCAAATTTCTGTAGTGACTACATACTTACTCTTATTACATAGACTAGCCATTAGCTTGTGAACTTGGCCAGTCGGCACGTCATACTTGTTTCTGTAGTATTGCAGTACTGCGACAGCATATGCTCTCATAATTCTCTAACTTCCCAACGAACGGGCTTCGCTCGAAATGTCGAAGTTTCACTTACATTTTTCTGGTAGTTGAATTCATATACATCTGCATTTCTTTATTTTTAGGTACCCTATTCTTTTCTGAGGCGCTATGAGGTCCATGAAGCTCTTTTAGGTATTCAAGGTCTAATTCAAGATCTATATCCACAGGTGCTGTCATCTTTCTATTTGGTTAATTCTCAATTTGTTTTGCTTAGCCAGTAGCCACCTGAAAACCACCGGTTGTGGTAAGCAAAAATTTCCATAGAACGCGTCTATAAAATACAAAAACACATTTGCTAAACTTCTCTGATTTATAGTCTTTCATATACTTATTATCTGCCTGACGTGTGCTGTGTAAGAGATACTCCCTTCATTCCTTTCTCAATGAATTGGGACATATTTATATTTAAGAACTAGAAAACGAGTCGCGTGCGTTTACGGTGTGATTATGCATGGGGGGAATGTTGGGAGAATACGAGAGAAGCGTGTAAAACACGAGGTATAATAGAATTTACACGCTTCTCACGTATTCAATCAACGCTCTGCCGAAATTCAACGCTCTGCCGAAAGTCGTTTTCTCCGGGCGCTCCGGTTTCCTCCCACAGGGAAAGTTGACAGGGTGGGGTAGGATAAACACAGGAAAGAAAGTAATATCACAATTGTTGTAAAGATAAAATAGTCTAGGCTAAGTATATAATGATGTAAGCGTAATTTATTGATGTAAAGCGCATTTGATCATATCATATGTAAATTTGTGCTATAGAAATGTTAATTGTAATCGTAATATCCCTAAACTCCTGGAGTGCATTACAAGTTTTTCTATTTCTTTTATAATATAAGAAGATATTACCCAGTAAACAATTTTATTTTAAAGATCTCTTAACATGTAATCATTGACGCCCCTGCCGTTTTCTGCTACCATGCAGTGTACTTTTCTACTACGTAGATTATATTGATCGTTTGCTGAAATGTGAAACTGGTCTGATATTGATCTAGAAACTTCATTTTTTTAGTATTTTGCGCATAAGCAAAAGCGTATGCTGCCATATTTTGAGCTTGTGAAGTTTCAATTACAACTCTAGTTTACAATTTTGCCATACCATGCAGAGAGCAATAGTCAAAACATGGCTGCACAAGAGCATTGTAAACCTGATTTAGGCAATCCTTTGGTACATAAGGCTTGAAACTCAACTTTCATTGCTTGATCAAACGAGAACAAGAGTTGCATGAGAGTTGACAAGCGATAGTTTACATGAGAGTTTTCTCAACTTTTCATTGCTTGATCAAACGAGAACAAGAGTTGCATGAAAGTTGACAAGCGAGAGTTTACATCAGAGTTTTCTCAACTTTCATTACTTGATCAAACGAGAACAAGAGTTGCATGAAAGTTGACAAGCGAGAGTTTACATGAGAGTTTTCTCAACTTTCATTACTTGTTCAAACGAGAACAACAGTTGCATGAGAGTTGACAAGCGAGAGTTTACATCAGAGTTTTCTCAACTTTCATTACTTGATCAAACGGGAACAAGAGTTGCACGAGAGGTGACAAGCGAGAGTTTACATCAGAGTTTTCTCAACTTTCATTACTTGATCAAACGAGAACAAGAGTTGCATTTGGAATTTTGGGCATTATTTTTGCAATTTATTGTAAACAACGATTATAAGAAGAACGGATAAATTACAAATCAGCCGTAATCGTCATAAACCTCGATGACCACCAGTGTTTTTAGTGTTTGACAATTTGTATTTCATTAGATATTTATATGCAAGGTCAGTATAAACGGGTTATCATATAAAATGATCATTCTAATGAATGAATTGATAAAACGAATTATTTCTAATATGTACGGTCGCGTTTTTTACACGGCCACTACTGAAACGTTTAGCTTGATTGTTGAATAAATCGATGACTTGCTTAGTTGCTTTCTGTTTTGAGCTTAACCACCGTTTAAGCTAAACGGGCTTGATACAACTGGCCCCAGACTCGGCCCCAGATAAACATTTTTGTATTATCGAGATCGAAACTATAGTAAATTGGAAACCGTGTCAATAATAAAAAACGTACAATGAACTTATGAACATGCGAAAATTGTCACGCCCAAAATTTATACAAATGTTTATTTTTAAGTTCTTTGAATGTTTGCATGGCGATAAAATATAATTGTTTTTGTTTGTGGAAACACCACGTAAATTTACGTGGTGTTTCCACAAACAAAAACAATTAAATGTTTATTTTGTTAAACATTTGTATAAATTTTGGGCGTGACAATTTTCGCATGTTCATAAGTTCATTGTACGTTTTTTGTGGCTAGCCCGTTTGCGGGCTAGCCATTATCACATAGTACACAAGCGCGATGAGCGATGTTGATCATGGTGTCCAGTCCGGATTTTCGTAAAGTATCGGAGGATGTTGTTAGTTTGTTACGACGCAGTACTGGTGAGGTTGTTAAACCAGAAAATTAAAATAAAGTTTATCTTCATAGCTTCAACCTATGGTGTCGAAACCGATCAGAAATTGCGCGTACTTGCCGTGTAAATATGGGTTTTGATTTGCACTTTTGACTGATTTGCGGGCCATTTGCCATTCTTGAATTGTCTTCTTGTTGACATTTCATATCTCAATTGCATTCGAAATGTTTGGTATTTTAAAGAAGGGGTATTGTTTGGAGGAGGTACGTTTATAATGCAGCGAATAAAACCAGCATTGGATAATTATGGTAAAAGACCAGAAACTGTACATCGAACTCGTTTATTTAAAGGCTTTAAGTATACCTTTTCTTCAGACATTGACGGCGTCTCAAATGTCTACATATTTGTAATAAACCTATAAAGGATTATTGCGTCTGTCTGTCTTAGGAGTTATATAGTCGAATAATTCAGCATGATTTGTCTCACGTTCTCTTATAAGTTGACTAATATTGCATTAAAAGTGGTAAAAGTTGGTGTGCTAACCAAGATTTCAGTGTATTTGTTTGCTAATATTGCTAGGCCTATATCTCAAACGCTATTTGCCTATTAAAATATCATATGACACGCAATTTTAATTCCACGGCAAAACTGCTGTTGCGCAAATAACAAACGCGAGATTAAATAAATATGGCAGTATTACAGTTTAGTAATATTGCATTAAAAGTGGTAAAAGTTGGTGTGCTAACCAAGATTTCAGTGTATTTGTTTGTTAATGTTGCTATATCTCAAACGCTATTTGCCTACTAAAAATATCATATGACACGCAATTTTAATTCCACGGCAAAACTGCTGCTGCGCAAATAACAAACGCGAGATTAAATATATGGCAGTATTACAGTTTAGGTATCTTTTAAATTGCTAATAGATCACACGGAAACTTTTTACAATCGTTATATTCAAAAGCATAGCGTGCAAATTCACATATTTGTGTTTATTCAAGTGTTATTCATGAATTCGCTATTTACATGGGAAGCGACGAGATATGACACGGTATTTTTCAAGTGTACCGTGAAACTCCACTGACAAAATGAGCCTGCACAAGTGGGAGAAAATTTGCGCATTCTGACCATCGTGGTGTGTTTTTTTATTACTATTAAAGTTAACCAGCATGGCAGGCTTTCTGGGTTTGGAGGAGGGTTTGGGGAGTTAAAGTTTACCAGGCTAGCCACATGTACGCATTGCGTACCTATTTTTATTATT